ACTAATTTTTAGCTACACAACTTATTTAATTTGCAGTAATTAATACAAATCACAATACTGATCACTAGTCCATAAACCTATTAGAAGTTAGTGCTGTTAAAATTATACGGCCCCAGCTTGTTCAAGTTCTGGGTACCGCTTTGAAAATTGGGAGGTATAGTTAGACGCTAAAATTTAATATAAAAATTATATAGTTTATCCCGAGTAAAAAAGATTTTATATAATTAGATACAATTATGTATAAATTATATATAATTATATAAAAAAAATGGCCCGATAAAATTGGATAGAAATGATATATAATTGTATAGAATTATATAGAATTATATATAATTATTTCCATAGAAATAAAAACATCTGGCGTGGGCAGAAATCGAACCTGGGACCTGATGCTTGGAAGACTGATTCACTACCTGTTTACCTACTAGACTTACTTGAAGTTCAGAGTTTGTAATAACTATAAGTACTCAAAATCGTATACATGATCGATTCGTGATGAACAAAATTTTTAATGATATTTATTAATTATTCATTATTAATTAATTAATTATTTATAAATTATTCATAATTATTAAAAATATTTATAACACTAATTCGAAGTTAATATGAAATTTATTTTAGTATTTTTTATTCTATTTCGTATAACGTACAGTAAAATTCCGATTTTTTTTTTATTTTTAAAAAACAAAACTAAGGTAAAATTACGAGGTCTAATTTGAATTACTTACAATTGGATATAATAATACTTATCGCAACGCAGCATTTTGATATTACAGAATAATTTGTAATGTTATTACGTCGTACAATAATTCTTAATAGAATTATTGTTTGTGATCCGTATCGCATAACTAATCCAAAATTATTTTTATTTTTTCGCTAAAATATTCGTTGATTTTCAAAAAAATTATTGGTTTTACTTTTATGTTTAATATTTTTACAAAACTAGAATACTAAATTAACCATACAGTAATACTATTTATTTAAGATTAAGCAATAGAAATGTACAAAATGCAACCAGTAATTTTAGGATACACTTGACTTTTAGTTATGATATACGTTTCAATAATTTTTTTACAAATTATAAATAGTTCATTTACCAAAACTAACGTGATAATTTTCATATAATATTGAATCATAAAATTTACATTCCATCATATAAATTTACAATTTTTGAAACCAATTTTTAATCTAAAACATATGTATTAAAAAACAAAACTAGTATGAGAAAAAAACTTGTTTATTACTTTTTCGTGTCTGCTTGGCTTGACTGTTCGGTCACAATGAATCTTCCGAATTTTGTCGGTGCGTTTCTTTCTTCCTCTGCTCTCCCCACTCACTCGTCGCGCCGGCGCTTCCTCCTTGGGGACTCACTTACTAGTCTTAAACTATGACTACGAGGGCTTCAAATCACAGCGCTCTGTGATCCGTCGATAACATAATGGGTGCGGATAAAAGGGCTTTTAACGGGTAACGATCACTCCGTTACAAGTTGTAGAGGTGAATCACATAAAATTTTATATAATTTTATACAATTGTGTCTACTTAGATATAACTCTATACAATTGTATCTAATAATATATAATTCTATAAAATTTTATATAATTCTTCTTCATGATTTGGAATAATTTTATATAATTGGATATAATTATATAGAATTATATATAAATTATATCCAATTATATATAGACGATATACAATTATATATAATCGTATCTAATTATATAAAATCTTTTTTACTCGGGATGTCTTTGCAAAAAATATTTATTATTTAGAAAAGACTATTTCATTAGGTGGTACAATTTTTTTTATTGAAAATGATGACATACGGTTTTTTTTTTACTGGTTGTTCGCTTACGATTTAGTACCTTTTTCATGAAAAAACTAGCATCTATTGGCGATTCTCGATATGTCAACTTTTAAGTTAACAAAAATATAATTGTTTTGATCATGTGCAAGCATGGATTAGATAAGAAGTGGACAAAGAGATCTCGCAAGGGAGAGCAACAAAAACCAACTACATGAGAATGTGGGCAAAAGAAGTCTGGTGGAGATGGGAGGACCTAAATGGTGATTTAAGGCAGCAGCCATTTCGGAACCATGAAGAGCAGTAAATAAGACATCAAAATTATACTAGGGAATATTGCAAGAATTCAAAACGCTAAGTAGGCAGATAACTTTTTAGAACTTGCTGACTTAATTATTTAATTATTTAATTATATTATGAATGTAAAACTGTACCCTAGTCATAGATAAGTACTGAAGTAAATAAGTAAACTAATTTATGTAGAATAGTTAAAAACTGTACAACTTGAACTAATAAATAATAATAATATAATTGTTTTGATTTATAATTGAAAAAACTTACAGAAATCAATTGCTGTATCATTGAATAAATATAATATGTGCATATCACTCAATAAATTTACGGATTTTGTATTACAACAATCGAAAAGTCTGTTTAAGTATTGGTCCCATTTTTATAAGCATCCAAGTACTGGATACTTTACCTTAGTAATAAACTATACAATATTACAAATTAAAATTCAATTTGACTTTCAGAAATTGTATTTCAACAATTGATGTTCTTTTGTGATTCCAAACTATACTATATAATATGCAACAGCATTGTAGTAGATAAGTATTTACCGAATAAATACAAATAGACCGGGTGGTGACAATAAACGCCGGGAGCAAGCAGTGATGTGGATTTAACGCATACAAAATAGGAAAATGCAGGTAGGAATGCGATGTATCCAGTGGTGTAGCGTAATTAGCGATAACGCAGACGAGCAGAAGCGTGGTCAATTTTCGAGCAGGTGTACGAGCTCCCTCGCCACCAGTTAACGATCTCTAGCCACATGACTACGTAGATGTGCCCCATTCCACTGGCATCCACCCTCGAACGATGTCGCTAACATACAGGCACCATCTGTCTGACTATACTCTCGTCTAAGCTCCTTTATTCCAAAATCACTCAAATCTCGCTCGGCTAATCTCTTTTAATTCCTCATTATTCATTTCAATTATTTTTACCAATGTTTACTGATGCTACAAATGTGTTTTAATTAATCAAAGCCAGTACATTAATTTATTATTCTCTATTTAAATTAAATAAAAATATGTATACACATATCAGAGCTGAAAATTCAATTTAAAAACAATTAATTAAATCAATCAGTGGATTCGAGTAATTGATATTTACTTGGAATAAATTAAGCATTAGTGGATGAAATAAAATGGAAATAGCTGACAAATAGCTTTTTTAATTGGAATCTATATCCGTTAATTACCTATATAAATTAAAATTAGAGTACGAAAGTAAAATAGACCGGCGAGAGTTAAGAGAGGTATTAATTTAAATTTTGACGATTGATTAATTGAAATTCTTGACTCTTGAGTGCCAATCAGCAGTTTCCGATTTGAATAGCAAAAAAAAACGTTAATTATCAGAAGAGCTCGCTGTGATTTAACTCGAGTGACTCGCGTCGCGGTTGAGGGCCAAAGAAGTGCTAAAGTGAGAAGTGAGACGATACTTTCTTGCTTGGGTTGCACTTTTGCCCCTCGACTGGCTAATCCGCGGGTTTTTCTCATAATCCGGGCCTTTTCACTACTCGACTCTCGCCCCGGCTTACGCGGATTGTTGGCCTGGGCACTCAAACACTCGACAACCCTTCTCGGTTCTTATATTTTGGCGCTTTTCCAGATTAAAATACAAATATCCGGGCGCGATAAAATTTAAGCTGCTAATTATTTAGTTATTTTATAAAAAAAAATAAAACAAACCTTTAAATCGAACCAGCGGGATTAATTTTTTTATCGCTGTTGGAATGTAAAAAAATAAATAAATGAGAAAATTTAGTTTGGATCGAAATCGTAACCGGAACGATCCGATCGGACTGCGTTAATAGGAAGTCAATGTGAAATTTCCGGTCGTTGCCGCGGCCATTGTTCTGGAAACTGCTTTCTTGCTCCTATATATATTTAGCTGAGTTATCGCCCCCGTTTCAACTTATACTTTTATTGTCTAACAAAAACATTTCAATTTTGTTGTAAGTTTTTTTTTTTTATACCTGCTCAATTTTATTAGTAGAAATTTTTTTATTGAGTTCAAAAGCTTGTTTATTTTCTGTTTGTTTGGAAATTTCCAAAAATAAATACATTTGTTTATTATTTATCATAAATAACTAATTTTAAACCGTGTAAAAAATAACATAAATATTTGCGAAGGATTTAGAATAAATAAATTTCGAGTGTTAATAATTAGAGAGGATTGCCTTGGAAAGTGAGTGGGCTTAAACGTAGAGAGCTTTTGATAAGTGGGTAACAGTAGTGGCTCACCAGGACAAACCTCTATTCTCGGTTGGCTCTAATGGCTGTTCAGGACCAAACTAAATATATATATGTATATCTGCAGACAGAAAGAGAGAGAGAGAAAATTTTGAATAGAGAGGAGCGGCGAAAATAACGTAACATGCGATGGTATCATAAGCGTTAGCGCTAGTGTGTATACGTAGAAATGATTTATGACGTGTCCCTGAAAGAGTTAATGGAAGCAAAATAGCACCGGGGAACTATGAATCCTTCCATATCGACGAGCATTATTGATGACGAAGCCTCGATACTGAATGCTATCTCCCGTACCGACACCACCATTATTTATTGGTGAGAACTGTTGACTATTAATAGCCGTCTCTAGCTCCAACTATTTTGGATTTACTGTTATAATACCCAGATATTTGTATACCTATATCTCTATTAATATTTATACACGTATATGCATACCACTGTTGGAGTGTTCGAGTGTGGATATTCCGCGACAAAGCTGAAAATCCTCCATTCAATTCAATAAACATGTTATGCGCTTTTTCTTTACTCTGCTTTTTTAAAACTCGATGGATTTTTGAATAAATCCACGCGATAAAAAAATATTGATAACGATAAATATTTATTTATCGATTAATAAATTTGTTTTGATAAATTTATTTTTTTCTCTGTTTCAGTTCTTCCGATACACTTTTCTAGCGCAGTATCGCATCGTCAATTTGAAAACACTGTAAGTCTGTTTTATTATATTTTTATTTTAAATATTTTATCCAGAATTTAGACTTTAAACTTTTGCCGATAATTTGAAGAAAAAAACATTTTTTTGTCCAACGAAAAAAAATGATAACAATAAAGCAATAAAATAACAGAGCGGGTAATTTAAAAAAAAGTTAAAAAGATGTTTCCAACTCGACTAAAGATTTCACCGTCGTTTGCAACTTTTTTTCAACTTCTCTTTATCGTCACTTCCTTCAGTTACACTCCAACCCTTACTTACGACTTTTAAATTTCTACTTAACTATCTCTTTTTTCTACGGCTGCTTCTACAAACACCTACCATCTCTTAACTATTTTTACGTCAATCTCTTTTTTTACTTCCAATCTCAAATTAAAAGTTTCAAGACTATCATTCGTAGAATTATTTTTGCATTAAATTAATTTTTAATAATTATAATAATTTAATACAGTTTTCCTCGGGTTTTCAAACTTTGTGTATTGTGCATTTTCATCTGCGGCCTTTGAATTGACATGTATAATAATAATAATAAGTACATATGTGTAAAAGATATAAAATGATGTTGAAATGCATTATTATTATTATTATTATTATTATTATTATTATTATTATTATTATTATTATTATTAT